GAAGGAAGGAAGGAAGGAAGGAAGGAAGGAAGGAAGGAAGGAAGGAACTATCCAAAATAAAAGCTGGTAGAGAATAATTCAGTCATTTTTAATTAGTGATGAAAATATTAACAGTTCTGCATTATTATTGAAGTCTAAATCTAATTCGTTCTTTCTAGCAATGGTTGTTGCCTTTTAAAGCTCCTTTTAAGACTAGCAAAGGACTTTTAAATTCTCCCAGCATTGCATCTTTTCAATTTAAAGCACTTATGTGATTTTTTTTAAAAAATGTGTCATGTAATGATTTACTGCTTTACTACTTACATTGCTCATGCATCTGTTATGATTTTTAAATAGTTTCTCTCTCTCTCTCTCTCTCTCTCTCTCTCTCTCTCTCTCACTCACACACACACACACACACACATAGTGTTTTGCAATATTCTACATTGCAAAATATAAATGTTAACCTCTCAATCAATCCTGAACATTGAAAAGCTAATGCAATTATCCTCATTCCTTTTCATCAGGGTAGATTTAACTTTTTAGGCAATGTTTCTATGCATATGGAAAAAGGTGGTGAGAAGAAACAAAGGGCGAGGTTCTGCCTTCTCCAGTTGGTGTGCCCAATCTGAGGAGAGGAGTTCCTTTCTTCAGAGCTCTAGCAACAAGATACATGGCTGTGGGACTGGATGGTGTCATCTGTTTCTGTGAACAGCCCACTTTCTTCATAGGTAACAGCTATAATAACAACAAAACATTAACAACCACTATCTTGTTGGTTGCTTCCTTTGTTCCCCCATGCTCTTTCCTTTTTGATGTCACTCTTAATCATAAACTGAGGAAAAGAGCTAGCTATTTATATTATAGTATTATTCCTACCCATACAGAAACTTCTGGCTTGGGTTTTTTTTTTTTACAAAAAGGGCAGAGTTCATGCCTTGCATTTGGGAGCTTTAAAAATAAAGTGGCAGGCTGGGGGCAGACAATGTCTTATTGACAAAGGCCTTTGGGAAAGTTTCTAACATATGCAGGAAGTGACTTTGCCATTCAAGGAAGAATTGCTGCCTCAACACAACCAATCATTTCTGAGGAGCGCTTTATTCCACAATTTCATCTCAGAATAACCACCTTGTCATGAAGAAAAGAAGCAAAGAACAGAGGAGATATTTCCCCCACAAGAGGCGCTTCTGACATATGACAAATTATACTGACAATGCGTATAATTTATCCCTAAAGCGTTAAGTCATGTACAAACGATGTCAAAATGCTTACATTAAACATGCAGGAATGGACATTTTGCTGAGTTAAGAAGCAGAAATATTAACTAAAAAACAGAACAGAGGAGACAGCTTTTCTATTACTCTTTTATCAGCCAGTAATCTGGTCGATTGAAACATGCATTTGGATGTGATAATATCTACAAGCTCCATCCACAGAAATCAGTGATGAAAAACTATGCATAAATACACACTTGTATTATTAATCAGTGATTACAACTAAGCCAACGTTGCAGTAATAATCCCTACAGTTGTGACTATTGAGTATTCAAAGGTAAGAAAGACCATTCATTAAGAATCCATAGATGGAATAACTACATTATACTTACATACGAATGCATACACACACCCATACACACACGCATAATTGTGTTTCACATGCTTTGTGTTTGCTTGCACTAGAATTGTTTATTATAAACCTCAATCACATTTCACATTTTTTTCTGCTGTTCTCTTAACATCTTCCCTGAGCACTGAACAAAACCAAAGCCACTTCCTAAATGTTACCAGTGTATTCAGAACACTGAATGCCTACCTTCTGAAGAACACCTCTGCAGTCTTGAGATACAACCAGGTTTGCCAGAAGATTAAATGTCATCTGCTGAATGATGCCGTTCTCAGACAGAGTTTGAGTTGCTAACTTCATGATGTTATGCATAAGTGGGTTCCCAGCTGCCGTTCTTTGCGTTGTCTGGAAAGAGCACAAGCTGCTACTTGCCACGCAAAGGGAAGCACAGCCTTTAAAGATCAAAATGTTGTTACAGGTAAATATGAGGAGGGAAGAAAGAACTTTTTATTAAGTTGCCTGTTTGCCAGTAAACAATCTCATTCCATGTTAAAATAACAGTTTTCAAAAACCTACATTCCATGTTAAAATTACGATTTTCCCAAAAAGTTTTTGTTCTTTTTTGCTCAGGGTTATACTATGGAATTCTTGATGCTCTTTGAGATTGCAGATATTTCAATGTTCAACTAGGTAATATCACCAGTGCATATAACTCACATTGATTCTTTTTTTTAATCTAGTGTGTAATGAAATGCCTACAAGCACCAAACTTAAAAGAGCATCAAGAACTCAACAAAACTAATATATAAAACATTAAATCTCACAGAACACACTTTATTTTATCAACTATTACAGGAGTACAATGTTGATTAGACAAACGAATCTTGTTTCAAGCCTTTTCTCATCTGAAACCCACCCCTTTCTCTCATCTCCAGGCTTATGGGAAATAAATAGTTTATGCATAGTTACCCTTTCATGTGTATTTATTTCCTTCAACCTATACTATTTTTTAAGAGTTTTATTTAAAAAAAAAAACATACACAGATAAGGAGGGCGGAGCTGGCGTTGCAGCGGTACAACGCATGATCTTGATCCTCCAAGATCGCTGTCGATATCTCCACTGCTGGAGGGTCCCGAAAGACCTAAACCGTCCCGTAGAGACGGTGATTGATTAGGGCACGTCCTGTCGATCCCAGGGACATTACAAAGTCCCTAGTTGATCCAGGAAAAGCCCTTTTGCCAGCGGCGGAGAGGCAGCCATTCAAGCTGCTGAAGCTGGGACAGCTCCGGAATGGAAGAGATTGAAGGAAAGTGTGTCAGTTTGGTGAGATGACTTTTACTTATTATTGCTTGAAGAGAACATTCTTAAAGATTTAAAGTGAAATTAAAAGTGAAGAGAAAAGAGTTTAAGCAGCAAAATTAAGCTAGTTAAAGTGAAACTTTTTTCCTTTTCCCTTTTTATTGGAACTTTGAATTTGGTAAAGTTACTGAATTTTAAACTGGACTGGTTTCTTTTAAATTCTCCATCTTTGTTTTTATTTTTTTAACAATTTTTTGAAAGTCTGTTTTGATTAAGACTCTTCTTTTGGATTTGAGGTTTTTTTTTTTTCAAAAAAGAAGGAAGGATTCCATTTTCTCTTTTTGCTTCTGGTGTTGGATATGTGAGGGGGAGTGAAAGTGAAGGGGGAAAAAAGTAGTGCTGCCATCTAGAGGCTTGGACATATTGTTTTTTTCTTTCCTCAGTTTGTTTTTGTACTTGTGCTATACTCAAGGACTCTAAGCTTTGCACTGGAAAAGATAGTGGGATGAGCATGGCAGATTGTTTATACAGGTGCCCATCTGTGAAACTAAATAATTAGAGCTTCGAGCTGAAGTTGAAAGAAAGAAGATTGAAGTGACCTTGAAAATACTGGAACTAGAAACATTGAGTTGATTTATTAAAGATCCTTGGATACTCAGCGGCAGTGGCTGGCTTAACTTTGGGTTATTTTTCATCTCCTTTTTTACTCCCCCCCCCCCACAAGTTAGATTTTTATATTAGGATTTTAACCTTTTATTCCAGAAGGTAAATCTTTTACTTCCTTTTTTTATCCTCTTCCTTTTCTCTCTTTTATTAAGAGAAATAATTGGATTAAGGTACATAAGTGCCTGAAGATTTTTCTTTTTCCCTTTTTCTTTGTTGGAGTGGCAATTGCCTGCCTGCACTCCTTTTTTTATTTTTATTTTTCCTTTTCTCTTTTTTTTCTCTCTCGCTCTACAGGTAAGCACTACAAGATGAGCAGAAAGACAACAGCACCAGCTTCCTCAGTACCAACAGCCTCTTCACCATCTGGAGGACAACGGTCAATACAGACAATCTTACAACAGGAGAAAAAGAAGGAAGTGACGTTACAGATGATTATGCAAGGAATTCAGAAGATTGAAAAGAGAATGGAGAATATTGAGCAAAGAACTCAACCTATACTATTTTGTTTGTTTGTTTTAAAAGTAATCAATTGGAAGAAAAGCTAGCAATAAATCCTTAGTTCCTTCATTTTAGATTCCATCATCTGGTTTTTTTTCCAAGCAGGACATTCCTTATGTTTTTTTCACTGGCTGTCATCTCCAGCTCTTTCTTCTAGCTATATTCTAACTACAGGCATGCTGGTATTTGTCATCTAAATGTACTATTAGAGGGAGTGATTCATGATGATTGAAAGATGTGAAGAAAGGAGAGCTTTCTTCTTTAAAACATAAAGTGATAGATCGATGGAAATCCAGACATCAGAAGCCTATTATGATGGATTTTTAAAGTAATGTGTGATATTTTGAAGAATATATGGCATATATTAAGCCATGCAGTAAGACATTTCTAACATCAGTTTTGGAATGACAAAAACTCAAATTATCTGGCATGAGTTCCTAATTCTTTTAAACCAGCATTTTCATACTTTAAAATATTTCTGGATGTTACCAGAAAGTTAAATGGTGAATATTTGGAGACACATACATATATGGGAGCTGACTTTTTTTAATAATCAGATTATAAAATCCAAGCTAGAGAAGAATTTAGGGATTATAATACTTGCCTAATCTTTCAAGTGAAATCATTCCAAGTTCAAATTCTGTGTCAAGATGTGAAAACTGCTCTACTACTGTGAAAACTTCTCTACTATTAATGACTTCTCACTGATGTATTTTTACATGGGGACAAGCATTTGCTGGGAGCTACAAGGAACTTAATTTAGTTTTGAGGGATAAACAAATTTGGTTTGCAGACACAGATCTTATTCATGGCTTTAACCCAAAAATCTCCTGGAAGCCTTTCCAAGGATCTGGCATGTCTAATGGAACTGATGGAGCTTTTTCCCTGGAATATATTACATCACAGTATAAGCTGCTTTTGAATATAGTCTCAGTTAAAAGAGAGAGTAATTTGTGTTGTGACAAATAGTGCAATGCTGCTGTCTGAAAACAAAACTGAAAACATGCCATGGGCATGTTCAACCTTAGACATGTGGAAGTATTTAGATTATCATACAGATATATAACTTAAAATGGAATATAATTTAAACTGAATTCAACTTTGATGAAATTGAGAAAATTAACACCATGACTATAAGGATGCACACGTGAACTTTTTCAGTTTTTCTACACAGAGGAATTAAGGCATTCCTGAAGATTTCCAAAGCTATTTTTAAATACAAACTCATTTGCTTTCTATTATAACTCATCATGCTTTGAATTAAATTTTGCACTCTCCTCTGTTACATTTTTGATGTCGATATACTCCCACAAAAGAACTTGCAAAGTTTTCTACATGAGTATTGCTAACATGTAATTTCTCTTACAAATTACCATGAATGATTGAACTAAGATTATTCACATTCCGTAGATACAGGAGATTCATGAACTATCCACCCACCTTAGTCACCGATTTATTTAAAAAAGTAAACCCTGAAACATTTTTAACTCAAATTGCCCACTGATTAACTATGAAAAACCAGTTTCTTTTGAAATGAAATGTTTAGTGCAGTCAGATGCTGTCACCAAGTGCCTGCATCTCTCAAGGGCAGCCATGTAAATGTCAAGAAATTTTAATATGCGATCGGTAAATAATTCTTCATGGTACTTTATGCCAACCTTCATAGAAAAGGAATATATTTGCTAAGAGGAAAAGAATAAAAGCAAATAGAAACTCTTTTTCTCTCACAGATGTACATCTACAATCAACTGTTTACAAGGTAGGAAGGCATGAGTGTTTCCATTTCTGTTGGAATACAGAGAGTCCTCCTTCAGCGACCACAATTGGAATTGGTGAAGTGTTGTTGGTTGTTAAGCAAAGTGAAATGCAACAGTGCTTATTGTCTTCCTTCAGCTTTCTTTTGCTTGGCAGACTTGTCCCTAACCCTAAGTTTGTCATCATCTTTGTAACTGTGAATAGTTGCAGACTCAGTTGCTAAACATGACTACCTATATATAATAAATCGAGGGAGGAGGAGAGAACTATCATTTGTGTAATACAAGGACTTGGAAAAGTGACTTTGAACAAAGATCTCGTTAGGCCTTTCCTTTCCTTTCCTTTCCTTTCCTTTCCTTTCCTTTCCTTTCC